CCCCCCCTCCCCCTTTTTTTTTTAGCTCAGTTATAACTTATAAGTCCAATGAGAAACAGTCGACTTCAAATTTTAAACTGAGTAGGATTCCAGAAGAGGGAGGGCCGCAGAAAACGGTAGGGGGGTGGCGACTGGCAGGCGCAGGTGAGGCCAGACCTGCAATTTTCAAGCGCCAACTTTGGCGATTGTTCACGTGAAGAAGAATTGGGGGAAAAATATGAAAATTGGAGATTCTGTAGATTGCGTTGTGATCTGTCCCAGGAAAAATATCCGAAAAATAATTGGAAAAAAAAAAGACCGCCAAATAAGTGCGGCGTCGAGTCGTTGCATTTTCCAGTTTTGCCACTTGACCCCTTGTGGGCCGACGGGAAAAGTACCCCAACTTGTGCGATTTTTTCCGCTCAGAGGAATGACGCAAAAGATCTGAAAATTGAAGGGTCTGTAGATTTGGCCGTGATCTGTCCAGGAAAATATTGGAAGACAATTAAAAAAAGAAGTCGTCGCCAAACTCACCTGACTCCCGTTTGTAACTTACAAACACGTGTGGTATTGTCAGGTCCAGGCGCCTGGCTGGTTTACCATATATAGCATATAGCTACACTATTAGAAGCTTGTGGTATGTAAAACCACGATTTCGAAAACTTGAAGTCCAAAGATCCAATATTAAATTCCCCCAAATTCCCCCTAGGCGGGAGTTGTCTCTATGTCGTAGAATGAAATCTGCGTTTCAACCGCGAAACAAATTGCGGCGGCAATTCTATGCATTTTCCATTTTTGCCACTCGGTCGGTTCACTGGTTGTCCTCATGAACCTCTGCTACCGGTCCCCCCCAATTTAGGATGGCGGGGTAACTGTTTCTCCTTTTTTTTTTTTTTTTTTTTTTTTGGAGGCTAATTTTTGTTAGCCCAATCAATTCAATTGCATGTCAAACCCATCTTCTTTTGGGAGGCTGAAGCCCCGATGAGCCCTTTTCAGGCCCTGCCAAGCAGCACGTCGGCCGCCCTAAGTGAAGGCAGGCTCGATGGGGGGGGGCTGAGGGACCCTATTTTGGTCACCACACAACTCAGGAAATTCAGGCAGTTGCGCAGCGCCAGTTCGTTGAAAGAACCCACGCCCTGGGCAGCTTGCTTGCATGAATCAAAGACAGGCCCAGGGCTGGATACGGGATGTGGGCCTAACACAGGCCGTTGACAGTTGGGCGCGAGCAACCACTACAGGCCCAGGGCCTTATTTGTTTGGACTGGGCCTCAGCCTACCGGGGCCTACCGGAAGCTTCTTGGGAAAGGCCCAGCGCAGCCTGGGACAGAACGCAGGCAGGCGACTTCCATATAGCAAAGGGCCTGCCTCCGCATTGGGGATTCGGGTGCTGGCTGCATGCTGCGCAAGCGCTGCTGCACTAATAGCTGGCCAGCGCTCACGCGCTCACGGGTGAGCAGGAAGGAGCAGGCAGCCATAGCCGAACTGCGCTGCTGTAAGCTGGGTGTGGCGCAGGGTGGTCCTTGGGTGTATGTGGCATCTGTGTGTTGGGGAACGAGGTTGTGAGTGAAGCGAGAGACTTACCTGGTGCTGGAAGCGTGCGGCATTGGCCGCTATCTGCTCGTACTTCGGGAGAACTGTTGTCGTCAACTTCGGCATTGTAGTCTAGGCTAGATAGGATCTGCCATCTCTAGTCTGGGCGCCGAGCGCCAGTTAGGTTATCAACATTGGTTCTTCGTTGATGATGATGATGATGAGACTATTCCAACATTGTTGTCAATTATGAGCTGTTGGTGTGCTCCTATTCGGTGAAACTCGTGATGCAATTCTGCTCTTGGTTCGAGGTCACGACTATCTGGCCTTATGTGTATGATGCTGGTTGATTGTTGAAGTTCGCTATTGCTCATCTTCCTTGCACTTTTGAGTTGTAACTTTTTTTTTTTTTTTTTGTTCTAAAGAAACTCTTTCTACCTTTCTACTGAGCAGTCTACGCAAAACCTGTGAAAATTTCACTGCCGCCGTTCGTGGACGTGCTGCCATGACGTTCCCACAAAAAAAGAGTGAGGAAGTTATTTCCCGCTCCCCACTCTTTCGGAAAACAGCGGATCGCAAAATCCGCTGAGTCGGAGCAGACCCTGAGACCCTGAGACCTAAGTGCCCCTAGCTCCCAAACGGGCAGCTTTGCCAAAAAAAAAAAAGGGAAAAAATTCAAAAAATTCAAAAAAAAAATATTGTGAGGTATAGCCATTCCTTTCTTTCCAACTGCTTTTCACGTGCTCTGTTGGGAACTTGGCATACCTTTTCCCCTGCCCAAAAGGCAAGTCGGATTGGACGAGGGATCCCAGATCGACCTTCGCATTGTGCCCCATTCTATGCAGTGAAGGCACACTTACCATTTATCACTTTTATTTGTTTGTTTTTTACTTCATTTGTTATTTTCATTGGTTAATCTTCAGTTTGTTCAATTTAGAGGCACAAACAATGGCCATGTAAAGACCAGGTCTATGTACAATGCATTCACGTAGAAGGTTTTGGCACTGTGTCGGTGCCCCGTCCCGTGTGCCGGGCCCGGGGAACCAAAAAAATAAATAAAGGGGGGAACACAGACGACAAGGAAAGAGAAGAGAAATTGATGTGGACATCTTACAATGCATGTCACACACAACAATATGCTGATCGAACACCCTGCCATTATCGCTGCATCTGGACTGAAACGCGCCCCAGATACAGCTATAATGTATTAATGACCTGACCGGGCGCTCTGTTGTTCCGGTCACGACGGGTGGCTGAACCCCTTTTCTGCGATCGCGACAAGCTACTGTTTCCAGTGCACTCTAGAAAGTTAGTAGAACCCCCCTTGATCGTTGAAGGGAGAAACATAACACTTTTGCCTATTCCTTTTCACTTCCCATTGCTTCTTCCATCTCCTTTGCATTTTCGCTTCAACTCTCTACTTCTCTCTTTTTTTGGCAGTTCTGTGATGTGCGTGCACTATGTGCATTCGCACTGCGTGCATGTCTGTCCAACTGCTATTTTTATTTTTATTTTTCCCCTTTTCTTTCCTCCCAAGCGCTGGTTTTGAGATCTTTGCCAGGAATATTTTACATTTTGCTTCGTTAGTTGCTTTCCGTTTCCCTCCTCTTTCGCTTACCATTTTGGCCATTGTTTTCTGATCTTTCTGCTTTTTTCTTTTCTTTTTTTCTTTTTTTCTGTTTTTTTTTGGGATTTTTTTTGGATTTTTTTTCTTTTTTGTGATCTTTCTTCTTTTTTCTTGTCTTTTTTCTTTTTTTCTTTTTTTTTCTTTTTTTTGGGAATTTTTTTCTTTTTTTTTCTTTTCAATACCTGTTAGTGTAATTTTACTAATTTAGCAAAAGCTGCAAAACCATTTCTAGCCGATATTGTCATGAAACTTCGCTGCCTTAGGCCCATAGTCTTTTTTTTTTTTTTTTGTTTTTTTTTTTTTTTTTTTTTTTTTTTTTTTTTTTTTTTTTTTTTAAGTGTAGTTTGTGGCATGCTTGTAGATGTTTTCTTTGCCATAGAGAGCAATTAGGAGTAAAAGGGGTAAAAAAAAAAAAAAGGACCAGTACTGAGGGGCACAAAACCAATCTGCTCGCCTTGAATTTCTGTCATGGCCCATGTGTTCCAAATGGTCTTCGGCTGCGCTTTTAAGGACATGAACGTCTAGTGCTGTATGTGGATGAACGAGGGCAGCATGAACGTCCAGAAATTTGTGTACCCCTCTCTCCAAGTCCCACTCCCTTCATCTTCCTTTGAAGATGAAGATGCAGCCACAGGCAGGCAGCAGGGTGGTGTGGCCAACCGAGCACGCTATGGACCTACGGCTGAAAGCTCTGGTTTAGAAAATACAAAATGAAATCCAGGAGTTACTGTCGTGATCATCGTTCGTTCCAGGCGGAATGCACACACACACACTGTCGTGACCATTTTTGTTTCAGGCGGAATGCACACACACACACACACAAGCACACACACACAAGCACACACACACACACACACACACACACACACACACACACACACACACACACACACACACACACACACGAGGTGT